GATAGATACTTTATGTATTAGAAATGTTTAGTGGAGATAGGATGTCTAGTTAGACTGTTAAATGCTTAGTCATGCTTATGAGTTTCTACAGGGTACATCTGGTCAAGGATAACTAGAGAGAAGAGTTGATGACTGTCAGCAGACAGGGTGTTTAATATTATTATTATGACGTGTATAACTGTAGCCTTAGCCATAATATGTTCTTATGTTTAAGACACGACATGTACTAGAGGTCGTGAGAATGTTTTTAGCTACACACCACTTAATCAACACACACACACACACACATTGATTTGCTTCATGTTTTGACTACTGCTATGGCCAGCTGCAAAGCTGGTAACAGAGACGTCCCAGTTGACGTTTCTGTGTAGTGTGGGGCTAGCCCAACCGAGGTGATAAAATGTATAGGCCTGGTGGGCTCAGGGTCTTTCATCTTACATCTGCCTGCGTGCAGTTTGGAGGTGCATGATACCTGAGTGTGTAATATTAATTTTACCTGTGATCCTTTGAATAAATCAGCACTGTTTTGAAGTTATTTGGACTGGCTCGTCTCTCAGAGTTAGCGATGGTAACATGAACCATATCCCACAAGATCTATTGCAGAACAAGAAGGAAAAGACAAAATACTTTATTGAAAGTGTTTTCAAACACTGTGGTCTACTTTTACATGAGAAGAGACTGTCATGACAATGTGGCCGGTTTTGCATAATGTTACGTGCATCTGGTTTGCTTACCCATCTATTAAATGTAACAGCTGTCTACAGACTTCGTGACATGCACCCATCTGAATGAGACTATGAAACTAACAAAAATGCACAAGGAAAACATTTCAGCAAGGAACTGCTCGCAGTGCGAGCTGGCATACATCATAAGCACAGTAACAACAAGTGCTGTGATAAACTGACATAAGAAGCCTAAACCTGCTGGTAAACTAGAATATATGAATGTCTCACAGGAAAAATGCCTATAAGAGCACAGTTTCAACAGAAATAAGTGTCCTGCCTGTTTTGTTAATCCAACAAATCCATATGGCAGGCCGACATCAATTTCAATATTGCATCCTATGCAACTGTCATTTATTGATTTTTAAATGCACAAATGTTACGTCACACTATTGCATTTAAATATCAATATTAGTGGTCAGAATCATCATTGAAATTCATGCCAGATGATTTTGACAGTCTAGGCTATATATATAAAATACAAATAAAAAGCACAAATACGTAGTTGCACTGTGGCGCCCACTGACAAATCCTTAGTCAGGTACAGCCCTACTAAAGAAAGACAAGACATCAAAGCCAGCAAATTGACTACAAGACTGTGCCAGAGACGCAGAACAAAAACTAACCCACAATGACTACAGATGCAAAACAACTGATGGGACACAAATTATGTGACCTAGAAGTGTAGGGGGCCTTATACATCTGTGCCCAACCTTGTCTCATGACACATTCATCCACCAGAGATAACTGGTGGATGTCAGTTTAAATTCCTTCTGGCTTTGTTACATGCAGTTTCTTGGACAAAGGTGTGTGATATTATTATTATAGGGGTGTGTGATATTACAGTGTTAGACTGCGAACGATTAAAATGTGTCATGTCTTTAGAGAGATATTTGTATCATACTACAGTGCACCTTCTGTCAGGTGACGTTTTATGGCTTTTACACAAAATGTAACATCTTCGCATTCCCTATTTGGCAACAAAAAGTGGCATGGATGTCAATATAAAGCAGTTAGTCACCAAAGAGAATTTGACATTGGTAATATAGAACCAGTTTGGATTGTTCAAAACTGACATAGCACAAACAACAGTTATTTGCAAATGTTACAAAGAGAGCCCAAACGTCAGATGGCAAGCCCAACCTTTTTAACCACCTCAATAGAAAGCACTTGAAAGAGTTTTCTGGCAGTCAAACAGTGAGAGGACCCCCACTTAAGTGAATAGGGTACAAATATACAGCCAGCAGCTATATGGCCAAAAACAAACTAAGAGGCATTCCATCTGACAGGACAAGTATGTGCTGGAAAGAGGTAGCCGGCAGTGACATGTTACATGACCAAGAATAAAGTTACTCAAAAAATTTAAAAAACTTGCTGGTGTGTCATTGTACCAGTTAAAACTGAGCTAGGCTGAAACCCAAAACTGATTTTGTCCATCCACGATTCATTTTATCCAAAGAAAGGTGTGTGTGGGTCAGGATGACTCTTTAAAAGGTAGTGAGAGGCAGCTTTTCATAATCCTGGTCTGCCTCTGGAGTGGGTTTCTAACTACAAGCTGCAAATGTTGTGAGCCAGGTGGGACAAAATTTTCTTCATGTGGGAGCTGCATGAACAGTGGCCTATTTATAGTTAAAGCTTTAAAAGCTACAGCAGTCCATCTGCAGTTACAGACAACAAAATCCACCACCTTTGCTCAGCATGAGCAGTCAACATTCTTCACGTGTAGCAACTAAGTATGGAACCCAGTGGGTAACACATTGGACTGGCAGTGAGCGCGTGTCAGTGGTCTCCTGGTTCTATATGAGTGAAGCTTCAGCAAGCTTTAATAATTCACCAGTGTCTTTTAGCTTCCAGACAAACAGTTTTTATCACCAGGGAATTCAGGGAGCAAGCACAGAGGCAGCTTTGATTTAACTGGAATCCAGTCTCTTTCTCATTCACTTGCACAGAGGGCTGTGATTCAGCTCTGGTAAGCTACCACACACACACCTCCTGCAACAGTAGCCTGTGTAACTGTAGTGAAGAAAAATACCAACGTATTTCTAAGTCAAATAAATCATGTTGAGCCAGCAAGCTGTTCTCATTCAAAGAGTTTTTTTTACAAACATGAATTTGGATGTTACAACCACTGTAGTATACACATCACTCATGTCCATCAGTACATTTGAGGCCAGCTAGTTGCTTAAAATTACGTGCTGGTGCATGGTGTGAAATGATATTTTTCCAACACCACAAATGGCATTCCAGTGGTTATCACTCAAATTAATTAATAAAGGGGACCAATGAGAAATACAATGCAACATGTAAAATAATGCAAACGTGTTTCAAAAATAGTCATGGCCAAAAAAACAGGCACCCCTGTATTTCTGTCAAATAATGCATCACTTCTCCCAGAAAACTGTTGCAATCACAAATTCTTTGGTATTCTCATGTTTGTATTAGAACAACAAAAAAATTGAGAAAAAAATCCAAATCTGATACACAGAACTCGAAAAATGGACTGGACAGAATTACTGACACCCTCAACTTAATATTTAGTAGCACACCCTTTGGACAAAAGAACTTCAATCAATTGCTTCTTTTAACCATCAGTGACTTTCTTCCACTTCTCTAGTGGAATTTGGGACCACTCTTTTGTCAACCCCACATGTACAGGAGTTTAGACAGTTTTCATTGACTACAACACAAACTGACCCCATTTCTCCAACCTTGTATACTGGCAACAAAAACAATTAAAAATCAACATCACCATATGTTTCAAGGAGAAGAAAAGGCCTGGCAGAATAAAAATTAGGAAGAATTAATAGTGGTAGTCCTAAGATTGATTAGGCTTAAAATGGATGGGCTGTGTCATCAAAATTTTGCATGAAATTGATTTTAGGAGAGGAGTGCCATTCGTTTTTATCATAATTCCATGAATGAATAGCAATTCTGTCACATTTCCCAGTAGCTACACCTGGTGCCATAATGAAAACTTGAAGATTAGCAACTCACAAACATTCTATATAACAACTAGGAAACACATCCTGCAAAAATATTTGGTATTTCTTGAACAGTGCACATTAATGCTACCTTAAAACCAAGGCCACAGGCAGCCTAATCACACACTCCTGACTCCTGACACTTTGCTACAACGAAGAATATATGAAAACAGAAACCTTACCCAGAACTTTGAACACACTCAGGCTTAAACTAAATTTAATATTGTTAGGTATTTTTAGTCAGATAGATATTGGATAGATACTTTATGTATTAGAAATGTTTAGTGGAGATAGGATGTCTAGTTAGACTGTTAAATGCTTAGTCATGCTTATGAGTTTCTACAGGGTACATCTGGTCAAGGATAACTAGAGAGAAGAGTTGATGACTGTCAGCAGACAGGATGTTTAATATTATTATTATGACGTGTATAACTCTTATGTTTAAGTCACAACATGTTACTAGAGGTCGTGTGAGAATGTTTTTAGCTACACACCACTTAATCAACAGACACACACACATTGATTTGCTTCATGTTATGACTACTGCTATGACCAGCTGCAAAGCTGGTAACAGAGACGTCTCGGTTGACGTTTCTGTGTAGTATGGGGCTAGCCCAACCGAGGGGATATAATGTATAGGCCTGGTGGGTTCAGGGTCTTTCATCTTACATCTGCCTGTGAGCAGTTTGGAGGTGCAAGATACCTGAGCGTGTAATGTTAATTTTACCTGTGATCCTTTGAATAAATCAGCACTGTTTTGAAGTTACTTGGACTGTCTCGTCTCTCAGAG